TGGCAACAATTTTGTGTCATTTAGAGACTCACTTGAGGTAATTGACACTTGTTGGCTCATTATATGAGGAAGACACCTCCACTTGTCAAATGTGTAGTTTTAGGACTTACCAAAGTGAGGAAAGGACAAGAAAGGAAAGAAAATGGAGTCGAAAAAATGAATCTGCCGTCTTTCTGTTGACAATAAAGCAAAAAAAACTCTCACTGTGCCTTAGTATTAAAATCAAAGAAAAGCCATACACAAGGAAAAGTCCGAGTGCAGTCCGACAAATAGAAGCACACCGACAGGTATAATAAATATATTTCTATGGGAGGTTAGTGAGAACATACATGTTTAACTCAACATAAAATCAGCTTCATGGAATTTTTCCAATGAACAATTAAGACGAAAGAAAGACGTTTTCTTGAAACACTAAATTCAATCTTTTCCCTCCAGTATCTGTGAGTTTCGAGCTTTGAGAATTCAACACATATCAGCCTCCTGAATTTCGAAAGTGCCAACAGGCTACTCGAGGCAGGGATTCATGTCTGTAACTCAATTAAAAATTAACTTGTTTTCGTCTCATTTCGGGGGAAAACAGTGTGTTGAGTGAAGCAGGGGCCCAAGCATGCAACAGCAGGGTGAACAGGAAATTACATTTGACAGAGTTAACTTGACAGTGTTGGCTCAAACATTATTTGACTGGAAAAGATAAGGAGCAAGGTATGGAGGGGTGAAAGAAAGAGAGCAATAGGAAGACATTAGTAGAAAGAAAAACAGACAGAGGTGGCAGGAAAAAGTATAAGAAAATAACAAGTCCACTAAGGGCTTCGTTTTTGTTTTTCTTTTTCCGAATCTGCAGCTTCAAAGGAATATAAATAATTGAACAGCCTCACCCCATCATTTTGAGTTCTGGCCAATTATTATTGGGAATGCTTTGCCAAAAATGTTACTGTTGAGGATGCTAAGAGGCTGAAAGAGAGGAACGTATAGAAGTAAGGAGGAGGTAAAGGGCCAGAAAAAAAAATGCTGACAAAAAGCCCTGCTGCACTGGAAACACAAGCCACAATGCAAAAAATAAATGGCACAATACCTCGTCATCTTTGTCAAGACAAGTGAAGAAAGACAATATATCAGACTCATTTCTTTTCTCCCTTCATCAAGGAAAATATTAACTTAACTTCCGAAAGACAATAACAGAACACCACCGAAAAGGAAAGAATGATTTCTCCCCATGTGGCTTTAAAACCCGATTTGAATATCTAATGGCAAAATTAAAAGAATCCTCATAATGGAAACAGCTGGAAACAAGGTTTTATCAAGTCATTACGGGCCCCCAAAGGTCTTGGTGTGCGGTTGTGTGTCTGTGAGTGTGTGGCCTTTTTTTTTTTTTTTTGTTCATTGGGAATGGTGAACACCATGGCAACTGTGTCCAACCCACAGCTCATAAATCAAAAACCAATATTAGGATATGAGAAATTAAGATGATATTCATACGTTTAATATCTGCAGTAATGAACTTCACTTCAATATCCAGAGAAATTATTCATCAGGCAGCCTGACAGTGTCAGAAAACACAACCTTTTGATGGTTGAAGTGAAAAATTAAACACACCTTTTGAGCGCTGCGTTTGATCCAGTTCTTTTAACAAGGACTTTCTACTTTATTCAATAATTCACACTTTCAGTGGTGTTAGGTCTTTGTTTTGATGCTTCATTCTCTTTAATCAGGACTAAAAAGCCGCCTGGGTTGCAATTTTGCATAACTTCTATAAATAGGTTTCCCTCTGTCAGAAACATTACCATTTTGCCACTAAATATTCAATGATATGACTTTGAAAATGTTTAGTAAGGAAAAATAAGGGGAATTAGGATTTGCCTGGGAAAAAAAACATACATCATCATTAATTGTGAGAACTCAAATGTAGTCTCTATCATTTGTGTGTTCTGACTGATTATTTATCAGTTGAGCAAAGGATACTTTTGATGGCCTGTCTTACATTACAAGTTAACATGACACTTTGGGTTTGTGTATGCATGACACTGTCATCAAATTTTACAGCTTGGCGAGAAAAAAAAAAAACTCAATATGCTACTCAAGCATGACAAAGCTCAGGTGACACTCAACATATTAAAGCAAGCCTATTCACACGTACACACACATAACTATCTGTTTGCCTGCACACATATTTCATGCAAGCATGCAGGCAAATAGAGACAGACACAAACAGGGAGGCAGGCATTATTACGGTCGAGGTGGCGGGATTTATTGAGCCATCTTTCTTTCTCTTTTGATTAAAAATGTCTCCTTCTCACTGTGATTTATGGGTGTAAATGGAAAGGGATGGAGGGCAGAGAGAGAGAGAGAGAGAGAGAGAGAGAGAGAGAGAGCGGGATGTGAGAGGAAGGGATGACATCATGCTTTCAGATGGGCACAAGGGTTGCTTCGACTGTGTGTGTGTGTGTGTGTGTGTGTGTGTGTGTGTGTGTGTGTGTGTGTGTGTGACAGTGAGTGAGTGAGTGAGTGTGAGAGGGAAAGTGTTGATAAGAGGAAGGGGGTGGTGTCTTTGTCCAACCCCATCCTCTCAGTGCAGCAGGTGGGGGAGTGATTATAATTGGACAACTGCACCACTGGGCTATGTGTGTAATGTGTGTGTGTGTGTGTGTGTGTGTGTGTGTGTGTGTGTGTGTGTGTGTGTGTGTGTGTGTGTTCAATGTGTGTTTGGCTGTGCATGTGGGTGTGAAAGACAATCAGAAGGAGCAAAAGTAGGTAGTGCGCGTGTGCATATATTTGCAGACATAATGGAGGGGAAACGCTGTGTGGCCCCAATGAAATGAAAAAGAAGAGTGAGCGCTCTGGTGACTAGTTTGTGTGTTTGTGTGTGTCTGTAACCAGGAGGCGGGAGGACGGGGGGGAGGGGGGAATAAACAAAAAAACAGTATGAATATGAGCAAGATACAAAAAGACAGAGTGAGCTTGACAAAAACAGCGATCATATCCACAGGCAGAGCAGACAAAGAGTGGCAGAAACTGACAGATGGGGAAAGAGCCCTGCTGTTAGTGTATTTGTAAGCGTGTATGTGTGTACGTGTGGTTGTGTGGTTGTGTAAGGGGAACGCGAGAGAGAAGGGGAAGCTAATCTCCAACAAAGATGAAGCAGACTGCACTGGCTTGTTATTTAAACCAGGGTGAGCAAACAGAGGCTGAGAATAAGTTCAAGTGAAGAAGGAAAACAGAGTCCAAACCTTCTGGGGAACGCGCTTAAAAAAAAAACCTGTTTAGAGGAGCAGCTTTTGCACCTTTTCTTCACTTTCACTTATGAATTATTGTGTAGCCTTCACATCAGTTAGACAGAAAGTCAAAAAAGAAAGAAAAAAAAGGAAGCGAACATTGGCATGTGTTTGACAGCTGCCTGAGTGCAATTTCAGATGTTTTCAGGCAGCTGAGCTGAAAGACACTCAAATTATGCTTCCAGACACTCAAACCACCACGCAATCAAGAGCAGACAGCTCTGTTCCAGCAGGAGAAAATCTAGTCCTCCTCATGCTTTCTTGAACCAACGAGAACACACTCAGAGAATGTCAGAAACTAAGATGAAGGAAAACACTGACAGAAGGAACACAGCGAAAATGCAATTTATCCTGCAAATTACCTGAAATATAAAAAAGAAAAATCTACCTATAGAGAGAAAGTGTAGGCCTAAAAAACACTGTTGATAGTTGATATGTAATTAGAAGATATTTTTCTTTTTTAGTCCCTGGCTGATAGATGCTCTCTGTCTATGTTAAAAAATATATTTTTTTAAAGACTAAATGTAGTTTGCAGTTTCTTTATCCTCTAATAACACTAATATATTTTTTGTTTTCTATAGTTTGGATGCCTATGAGGTGAATTTATTCCTGGGCTTCTTGCAAAAAAAAAACTCTTTGGTGCCAACCTGATATATGAAAAAAAAACTGACTCCAACTAGTTAATTATTTTTTTCCAACAAGAAAGACAAGAAAATGTGGAATACAATTTTATCCAATCAAAATGAGACACGGTTTAAGCACTGCCTTTTCTTAGACACAAAAAAAACACTGAGGCAAATCTGAACAGGCACATTTATATGTTAAATATTAAGGGTAAGCTCAGTCAGCAAACTCAACATGCAAACAAATACTAACATGTCACTGGAAAAACATGCTCACAATATTCTACACATATATGCCCTTTCACTATCCCCAAGCTCGGGATTTACAAACAATAAAACCCAAGGGGGAGCCAACCCCACCTCGCCATCACGCTTAGTTCCATTTCTCTGCAGAGCCTCCTCTTTGTTTTGCCTCCTTAATGCTGCTCTAAGCCCGTCTTAACGGGGAAATGGTGCAGAACAAATCCTGAGCAGGAGTTGACAGGGCGGGAAAAGAGACTACTGATGTCCCTCTAACACAGCCAGTTATGGAGGACAAATTATACAAAAAAGCATCACGTCGACATGGAAAATGTGGAAAATGCTATTTAAGATTTTATATTGCCTGGGTTTCTGATGTGTATAAGAAACACATGTTCAGCTACATATCCTTTTCTGTATATAAAAAAAAAACTGAAGATCTGAGGTGCTTTCAGGGGTAGATGACAGAGACAAATTTTCTTACAAGTCAAACCTAGCTCTTGACATTCGAGAGAAGTACTAATTTTTTTCTCTCTCTCTCTCTCTCTGTCTCCAGAGAGGCAGTCAATAAAAACAGACCTTTTGGAGATGAAAACAGCTCTCTAAAATGAGATATCAACAGTCCTAGACAGAAATACAATCCCGCCAAAAGCAAACGGAAAAGGATAGAAAGAAAAAGCAGCTGGAGTATCTCTATTACAGAGCCTCGGCAGGAAAAGTTCACTTTCATAACCCACCATGCACAACCTTTCCACACTATTTCCTGTTTAATCCGTGGATCAAACACGACTGATGAACCTCTAAAGGGCAAGACGGAGGAATAAAAAAAGAAAAGTAAGTTGTAGGGGAAGTCTGTCTTGATACTTACATAAGGCGTGGGAGTCTGTGAGCAGCAGTGATAGCAGCAGAGTGGTGACAGGCAGCAGGAGTTGCAAGGAGAGGCGAGGGGCACCGCTGGTGGCCATCTTGGCTCCAGTTGGGAAAGAGGGGGCAGGGAGGGGTGGGGTGGGACTGATCTTTGACCTGGCTGGAGAGCCGAGGCCCCGGCTGCGCAGGGATGGTTGGGGTCTTCACGCAGGATGGCTTGGCACTCTGTGAAAATGACAGAAAGAAGGACAGGAAAATTAGATTTGTTGTTTTGTTGATCAATATTGTATCGAAAGTTGCTGGATGCTAATGTTTACTGTACACTGTAATGTATCATATGTTCAATATGTTGGTCTTTCTTGAAACACGACATCCCTGAACAGCGCATTACAACATTAGCACATCAGAGGTGTGGTTTCCATTCTGATAATATCCAAGGTCAAAATAGTTTGATAGCAGCAACGGTTACAGATACAAAAGACCAAATTAAATGGAGGTGAGGAAAAAGGTGTCGGTTCTGCCAGGACTTCTGATGGACACGTGAGACCAATCAGCTGTTCTTTCCGCAACCTCTCGTGCTGTTGCTAACAGATAAATGGAGAAAAGGATATAATGTGTTCGTGACACTACTGGAAGCGAAGTGTCACTCACCACCATCCATACCCTCCTCCCCAGCTAACAACCACCATCTTCTCACAACCCTTAATTAGCAGGAGAGTCACTGTAGTGTTTCTTTTTTCTTTTTCCTAATCACCAGATCTTGTCATTATTTGCTTATCTCATTGCCTTGTAATTACACAGGCATCCAATGATATTCCAGGCACTGTCTCTTTGTTTAAGTCAAATTGCCATTAATCCCCTGAGCTACAGGGAGGGACTAGGGACGCCTACCATCACACACAGACCCAGACACGTTTTCTCTCATTGATATGTCTGGTGCAGCACAAAGCTACCACCAAGTGGTTATACATACTCTTTAATTACGAAGACATTCATTAGAAGACAAAGAAAAGGGAGTAAGCGAAAGACCTGTGACATGAATGGAATGAGATTGTCGATTTCTTTCTTTTTATATTAATGGATCCCGTTCAGCTGACACCCCTGTGTGCAATCTTAAAATAAGTAAGCAGGTGAGATCTTAAAATCTCTGGGTTGGTGACAGCACAAACTTTACAAACAATTTGCAGTTCATTTTTTCTACATAGATGTAATATTCTGTCCAATATTGGTTGTTACAATTTTTATCCATCAAACAGCCACATTCACTCTCCCTGGACACTTCATAAAAAGCCAAACCTTCCAACTCACATCAAGTTGCCTTTGACAGGTGTCAGTAGCTGCAATGTGGACTGAATGTACTTAAAAAAAAAATCAAATAACCGACTATGATCTCTATCATTCAGACGCAACCAGGTTCAGAGGGCTGAAAGCTGAAGTAATGTGCTAAAGAACTTGTGGACTACTCCAATAAAGTGGAGTGAAATACCTCCAGAATAATTTTTAAAAAAGACCTCACTTTGAGAAAATTTTGGAATGTGTCAAACATGTCAATTTGATAAATAGTCAAAGGACGTAAAAGGTTGCTATATGCTTCTGTCTTACAGGGCTGCAGTTGTGACTGTGGCTTTGAGAGTTGCAGAGAACCACAGCTAATTGCAGTGTAACCGAGCACCTCAGACAGCAGGCGGATTTAAGCGCCACACCCTTCACAGCTACTGGACCACGCGCCTCAACTTGGCTGCATGAAACAGACAGACACGTGCAGGCAAGGCAGACTTAAAAATAAAACCACTAACACACACAAGAAAAAGAAGAAAAAAACAATACACCCGCAGTCTGACGCTTCTGGCCTCTTTTTTTTTTTTTTCTCCACATGAATATTCAACCCTTTTGGCCCATCGAGCAGAGAAATTCAAGAACACGCGCTTCACAAAAACACAAAGACATAGATCCACAATAGGTCTTTTGTGGCGACGCCATGCCAGAAATGAGTGGGTGTCTTTCAGAAGCTAAGCTCATCTTTGAACACAATACGATACACACACGACCCACATGTGTGTCCGTGCTTGTCTTTTATTTTCCTTTTTTCTTGGCCTGGGGGGGGGGGGGGGGCAGGTGATGTCACAGGTGAGAAAGGAAATACAGAAACATGAAGAGGGGGAGTCAGGGGGTATCAGATCGTCTAGGGGAGTTCTGAGTGATGCCTCTATTGTTCCTATACTGTAAACATCTGTGGAGGTAGAGGGAATCTCGCCATGCCTGTAGGGGATTACTCTATCTATACTCACAAGATGCCTAGGTTATGATTTATGGCCCTCCCCTTAGGGCATGGCTTTCTATCACCACCTTTGGTTGCTACACACACTTCACAACACAATTACAACAGCTATTGTAGATCAAAGCCTTTGCCAAACAAAACATAAGGTAGGCTTCAGTTTAACAATAGACACTGTCTATGCAGCTCAATGCATTCCTCTCCTAACTCTAAATAAAAGACAGTATTTAGAGAAGTTTAGACATGACGACATCCACCCACATACTTTTGTTAGGTGTAGGGGAAGATAATAAAAAAAAAAACCTCAGCAAAGCAACATTTTAATATAAAAAGCAAACATATCTCTGAACACAGATAGTAAAAACAGATTGCACGAAGAATTCCTTTGCTCAAAGGGAAGAAATGATACAGGAATCGCAGCATGTTTCTACTGCTATTAGCACCTCCTTGGGAAAACCTGTCAAGTCCCGCTAAAAGCATTCATCACTTTCCCTCCAGACATGAGAAAAGAGTATTTAGCATTCTGGCAACGCTAGCAGAGAGGCAATCGATTGATAAACCTTCACCATTACCTCAGCTGCTTTCACATCATCGGCTGCGATTGAGAGGAAACTGCTAATGGCTGTGTCTTGCAGATTTTCGAGTGATCACTTGACAACTTCCTAATTTCCAAAGAGGATCGGGCCTATGAGATATAGTTTAGGGTCTTTAAGCTTGCACAATACGAGCATTTGGAAAGTGGGAGCAATATCGTCTTACTTGTCCAATCTTTCAACAGTAAGTTATACAGAAAGATACCAGACAAAGAAAGTCCTGATGACCCTTTGGCCTTTATAATGTGGTAGTAATCAAGATCAAGCTGTAATCTTGCTACAAAGGAACTGAACCTTAAAATTAGAGAACTTAGAAAAGAAACTAAGCAGCAGCATGGAGGTTGATGGTAACATAAGGTGATCATTTGAAAAAAAAAAAAAGAAGAAAGTCAAACATATTTCTAAGAGTGGGTGTTTTCAGTATTTGCCAGTACAATCAGATGTTGTCCGACTACCTGAAAATGAAAGATTAAAGGCCTAAACACAACAGCTTCCATACAATCAAGGCCAAGAAATGAAGTAAGTGTCGCTGATTTTATTTTAACTGACAGCCCAACTGTGAAGGAAGTCAATTATTTCAATCACAGGTAGCTTGCATTGATAGGCAATTATTCTTCAGCTCAAACCTTTTTTAACCAAGCCATCGCTGTAGATATCATCCAAACACCATGCTCTTGTAATTATAACCAAAGTGGTGGAGCACTTTCCACTGAGCGGTGGCTATCAGGGCCTCTTTGACATGGTCGAGATTTAAATTCAGCTCGTTTCCTCACGCAATATTGGTACTAATGCATTTGATTACAGAGATTGAAAAAGGCAGCGCATGCAAAGGTAGATTGGAATTTGCATTATGAGCATGAAATGAGAGCAGGATCAATGGTTATAACACTGTGCACACCACTACACGCTTTGCCATACTGGACAAGGAAAAACCTAAAAGGAGTAGTGAGTTGGACCAAGACCTGGATTGTGAGTAGCCTATAGATATGAATTCTAAAGAAGAGGCCTTGGCACCATTGGCTTCAAGAAACACATCTATTTTCATATACACTGTTCTGTTGCAAACTGTTCTTCCCACACACACACACACACAGATGTGTAGTTGTATTCACAGGGAGAAAAACAAGCACTGATCACCTGAGGGAGCACATTTATAGTCTCTTTTATGAGGTGAACTGTAATCTCACTTCCCGCTTAGTTAAAAAGACCGCTGCTTGATGATCAAAAATGCATGTTTGATGTTCAGAACTTCAAAAAGAATAATATTTCCAGTGTCTCGTTCCAACAAAAAAAAAAAACAGTTGGACTTTCTTCATGCAGAAGTTCATTTTCAAGCATTGTTTGGTTTCCAGAGTTTGTGTGTCTACCACATCTAAATTTTGGCTCCGGGACTCTGATAGGCCTTGTTTACAGTGACTCCCTGCTTCAGCCCGGAACCGTCTCTCCTCTGAGGAAGTTTAAGGCTGTTGTGGAAAAACTGGCTAAAATAATTGGTCCAAAAGTCACAGGAAGCATAAAGGTTTCTTGTCTTAAGAATATCTTCTTTTAATAGTATTACATTCAAATTTGATTTCAAATTTGGCCATCCCCTCTGCTTCCTTTGGGATCATGTGAGCTCATGGACCATGTGAGGAGCTGTGTTGCTGCCTTTAGGGTTTGATAGGTCTTATCGTAATTATATCCCATAGTGAATGATGTGCCATTATTATTATTTTTTTTATCCTACAATGTATATTATATGTTTTATATTAGAGAGAACGATATCAAACTTTCTTGATACATTACTTTTCAAATTAATACAGTTCAAATCAAATGGTGTAAAAAAAACAAACCAGAGTTCAAAGGTTCAGACCAACATTCAAATCCAAATCACTTTTTGCTCAATGACAAATGTTATCACTCGTAACATTTGTAATACATAAATCATATATCAACATGTTCCTCACCATGATCCAATTTAAATCTTACAGCATATGAGGAACTTTCAGTTTGTATTTCAAAGCTCTAAGTCGAATGTTTTCTTTTCTTATCTTGTCTTGTACATGTGTAAGTAGTGTTTTTTCTGACTGAAAATCTTATCCTGATGTCTTTAAACTCTCAAAAGTATCACTCATTGTGAATATATGCCATGGAAAATCATCTCACACCTACTCTCCACAAGCTGATTAAAAATGATATGTAGAATTAGGCAAACCAGTTGCTTCAGGTCCAGTTTGCTCTGATTGGTCAT